CTGCTAAAGCTAATAAATTCTCAGCTCACTTAATGATAATTTAACTTTCAGAAGATGGAAAAAGCAAGGAAGGGAACTGCTACCCTGGATCTGATTCTAACCAACAAAGGTGAACCAGCAGCTCAGGCAGAAAAGATAGCCCCTTTGTTGGGAAGCAACCACTCCATCTTAGGATTTGGGAGAGAGCAAAGGAAAACCTGGCAGAGTTTCACCTGTATGTTAACTTAACCAGGGAAGATTAGATTTCAGCAGGCTCAGAGAATTGTTAGCATCCCAGTGGATTAAAATTCAATGGGAAAGTCAGCTGAAGAGGGAAAAGAAGCTCTCAAGAATGAGATCCTGAAGGTGCAAAGCTAGATTATTTTTGAGAAAATCTTCCTAAAAATGAAGGAATTTATCAAACTTTTTTACAAGGGCACATATAAAAGAGTAGAAGGGTTGTATAGCAATAGTGTCAGGGACCCTACATTTCAGAATGAACTGAAGCTGTTAATGAATACTAAGGGCATTTTTTTTGTTTTTGTTTTTGTTTTGAGCTATTGTTAGGGAAAAAAATGGATGCAGGATGGGGTCTTGTTAACAAATCGTGGAGAGAAAACACATATTTTGCTTTTTTCCTTCTCTGTTAAGGAGAATAATCTTTGAACTAAAAAGGTTAGGGAGCTATATATAGTCACTTAACCCTATTTGCCTCAGTTCCCTTATCTGTAAAATGAGCTGGAGAAGGAAAGGCAAAACACTCCAGTATCTCTGCCAAAGATACTTTTAAGAAGTTGAAACCCGAGGTAAGTAAGGAGGTTAGAAGAGAGCTCTGAGCTGGCTTCACTATCCAAGGGCGCTGATAAAACTAGGTGATATAATTGCAAAAATGATTAATCATCTTTGAAAGATCACGAAGAATTGGAAAGGAACATTAAGATGAGAGAAAGGCAAATGCCAGGACATTCAGATAAAGGAAGAGAGTGGAATGTACAAACAGTAAGCTGATGAGCTTGACCTACTCTGGACATATGACCAAGCCATCATGCTTTTGTTTGTGGAGGACATTGTACTAGAACATTACAAAGCCACCTAAATGAGTTCTACAATCACTCACAATCATTTGGCCTAGTCATTTACAAAGGAAAAACCAAGTGGATGAAAAGTACATATTTCCAGATTATTCCTAGAAAAATTCTGCTACATGTTAAGGGGATGATTTATAAATATCCAAAAAGGGAAGCTTTGATCACTAAGGGCTCCTTCAAGAACAGCTGATTTTTGTTATTCAGTCATTTTTCAATTGTCCAACTCTTTGTGACCCCATTTGGTGTTTTCTTGGCAAAGGTACTGCAATGGTTTCCCGTTTTCTTTTCCAACTCATTTTACAGATGAGGAACTGAGGCAAACAGTGTTAAGTGACTTGCCCAGAGTCACACAGCATCGGAGGCTGCATGTGGGCTCAGGAAGATGAGTCTTTCTGACTCCAGGCTTGAACCACCTAGAACAGTTCCTACCAGATTAATAACCTTTTTTGAAAAGATTTCTAGATTCTCAAATCAAAGGGATGTTATATATTAGTTTGCCAAAATTTCAGTAAGACAATCAAGAAAGTTCATCATATTTATCACTGTGGACAAGATGGAGAAATGTGGTTTTGATGATAAAGTTAAGTGGATTTTGAACTAGTTGAAAGAAAAAGAGTAGTCAGCAATGAGTTGCAATCAACTTGTAGAGAAGTCACTAGTGGAGTACCTCAGGGATCTTTTCTTAGACCTGTTCTATTCAAGATTTTTGTCAATGACCTGAATGAAGGTATAGATACTTACTGAATTAATCGATGGCACAAAGCTGGGAGAGAGAGCTAATATGTTGAATGATACATTGGAGAAGTCAGTCTTTGGATTTCCTGAGATCCCCCAACTCAGAGTGGGCTAATCCACTCAGCTTGTGCTGAGGCAGAGCTTCCCTGCTGTTGATTGCAGGCAAGGTCAAACTTCAGATCAAGCTTCATCCCCATCCAGCCATCCCACCAAAGTACCAAGGCACAGGTCTCTCTCCATCTGCCCTGCAACTGCCCACTTACCCTTCTTTTAAAAAAAAAATTCCCTTTATTTCCTTTTATAGTTTTTAACATTCCTTTTAAAATTCTGAGTTCCAAATTCTCTCCCACCCTCCACCCTTCCTTGTCCATTGAGAAGGCAAGCAGTGATACCAATTATACGTATGAAATCATGCAAACATATTTCCATACTAGCCCCCACATACCCTTCTGCCACCCACTCACCACCTTATTCCATATGCAGTCATTTGCTAAGTCTTATTGCTTTCACCTCCTTAGCATTTCTTGAATTTGTCCTTTTCTCTCTGCTCACACTACAATCACCCACAGTGGTACTATTTAATTGTGATATTCAAATCCTCAATGCCTCGTATATAGAAAGCAATTAATAAATATTGGTTAATTGATTGATTAATAGATTTGGGACCCAAAAAGATCTCAATAGGCTAAAATGATGGGCCAAACCTAATAAAAATATAAATAACAACAAAGTCTTATATTTGGGTTCAAAATGTCAACTTCACAAGGAAAAGATAATGGTAGCTTCTGAAGACAGTCATTTGTTTGAAACAGATCTCTATGTTTTAGTAGACTGCAAGTTCAAAATGTTCTAATAATATGACCAGTGGTACCCTCAAAGCTAATTATGATCCTAGGTTTCATCAAGAAAGGCATAGTCTCCAGTACATGAGAGATAACTGTCTCATTGTATTCTGGCCTGCTCAGACATCTTGAGGGTTCATTTCTAGGTGCAGTGTTTTAGGAAGGATTTGACAATCTGGAAGGCATCCAGTGGAGGATAATTAGAATGGTGCTTACTTCATGGTACTTATTATTTTGTTATGTTCTCCATGCTTGTGTCCTATTAGTAAAGCTTACTGATTTATGTATTTATCCTGCTGGCTACCCAGAACAAAAGACGGAAGGAACTCATCTGTCGTAGACCAAAGACTTGTTGTACACACCAGACACAGGCCCACTAGAATGTCAACAAGAGGAACCTTTGGCTCAAGATGGGGACCCTATGAAGACAGATCCATTAAGTGGTCTTGAAGAACTGATACTGGCTTCAAAGACATTTTCTCGTTCTAGGTCTTAACCTTTTTTTTTTTTTGAGCAGCAAGAGGCACAGTGCGTAGAGTGTTAGACTTGGAGTCAAAAAGACCCAAGTTCAATCCACCACCAGACACTTTCTAGCTGTGTGACCCTGGATAAGTCAGTTAACCTCTGTTGGCCTCAGTTTCCTCCTCAATAAAATGGAGATAATAATAGCACCGATTTCATAGGGTTATTGTGAGGATCAAATAAGATAATATATATAAAGCACTATATATGCACTAGCTACTGTGCTTCTTATGTTATGGCCCTCTCTTCCTATTAATATTTTTAAATACATGAAATAAAATATACACATGATTCAAAGGAAACCTATTATATTGAAATAAAGTTATACTTTTTTTTTTCCTGTTCAAGTTCACAGACTCCCTGAAATCTATTAATGGATGCCTTGTGTATCTGTCGACCACAGAGTAAAAATTTCTATTCTGGTGGAATGGTAATGGAGGATAAGAAACAAAGAAAAATTGGGCCACTCTATATAAACCTTTGCCTAGAATGGAAAATGGTTCTTATGTCTGGACGAGCCTACTGCACATTCTGAGGCTGAGAATCCTAGGGGCACAGGGAATTGTTACCATATAAATCATTTTCCAGGTCTAATTACTTCAGATCATACAAGTCTTTCTAGACTTTTCCAATACTGTCCCTTTGGTCATTTCTTATAGCATAGTAATATTATGTTATATTCATATACCATAATTTCTTCAACCATTCCCTGATTGGTTGGCATTCCCCTAAGTTCCCAGTTCTTTGCTGTAAAAAAAAAAAATGAGCTACCATAAATATTTCTGTATTTCTTCTTTCTTTTAATAATTCAGAGGAAGGAGAGGGAAAGTTGGGTCTAACAGCAGTGTTGCTGTATCAGAGGGTATGTACATACCTTGGAGGCATAATACCAAATAGCTTTCTAGAATGGCTGGATGAATTCATAGCTCCACTGATAGTGCATTAATATGTGCCTATTGTTTTGCCCTGTTCTAACAACTGTCATTTTCCTTTTTTTAGACATTTTTGCCAATCTGATGGGTGTGAGGTGCAACCTCCAAGTTTTGTTTTAATTTGCATTTCTCTATTAGTGATTTGGAACTTTTTTTATGTGACTTTTGATAGTTTATATTGTTTCCTTTGAGAAATGCTTATGCGTATGTAGCGTTTGACCATGTATGTATAAGTTCCTTTCCTGAACCCTAAAAGGGCCTGGTCACTTGGACCAATCAATATAATATCTAAAAACTTGGTATTCACTTAGGGCTTTTGGCATGCTTCCATTCTCCCTCAGTTTATAAGTCATTCTCTGATATGAACTTTTCTCAGGTTACCATATGGCATATACCTAGTCATGTGAATTCCAGAAATGCATGACAGTCTGGCACAAAGATATGTTTAAGAGAGTGAGAAAAGTCTTACTTGTCATTTACAATTCAACTCAGAGTTCACATATTAGGCTGAGTATTTTACCTCCCAAAAGCCAAGAGAGACATTCATGAACTTCTTTCCCTAGTAGCTCAACAATGGGAGTTTTGGGGAGGTGCATTGGAGCAATAAAAGACAAAAAACCTCCTCTGAAGCCCTTTTCTGTGTAATCATTTCATTTAAAACATTTCCCCAAATGTGCTTTGGAAGAGAGAAAGCTAAATTTACCTTTGATCTGCTAAACGACAGAGACATTCCCTTTGAGTCACCTTTTGAAAACAAAGTTCTGGAGAAACTGCTTGCTTCCAGGATCACTGTCCACCACAAACAAACATGGCTTTGTGGCACTGGGTGTGTGTGTGGTGTGTAAATAGATTGTGGGAAGGAGAGGGGCTGGTTTTTCAAGTTCCTGTTTCTCTTGCCCTGTTAGGTTCAATGCAGTCCAGCATTTGATATCCTTGGTCTACAAGAACAGGAGAGGAGATAAATCTCCCAATTCTAGCTTTCTGAACAAGGTAAGGACTGTGTGATACAGGAGAGAGAGAATGGTGGCTTCCTTTATTATTTCGTTAGTTATTTGTCATATTTTTGTTATATCTTCATTTTGTACATGAAGCCTTTCTTTCTCTTTGCTTTTTTCCCTTCTTTCTTTTTCTTCCTTTCTTCCTTCCTTTCCATTCTTTTCTTTCTTTGTTTTCTTTTCTTCTTTCTCTCTCTTTCCTTCTCTTTCTTTCGCTGTCTTTCTCTTTCTCTCTTTCTTCCTTTCTCTTTCTTTCTTCCTTTCTCTTTCTCTCTTTCTTCTTGTTTTCTTTCTCTCTTCCTTTCTTTTTCTTTCTCTACCTTCCTTGCTTCTTTTCTTTTCTTTCTGAATTCCTTAAAAGAAATAGTCTAACTATTGAAATAGTGCTAAGTGATGGCTAAGAGACGGTGACATTGAGTTTATTTAGAGCATCAAATTACCTGATTTGCTATCATGTAGATTTTGTCTGGTGGGTGTCAAATGGTCATATAGGTAATGAGGTGAGTGGATTCACTGAGTGGACACTGACTCCTAAATGTACATCCTAGGCACATGGGACGAGGAAGTTCAAACATGAAGGACTTCTCCTTCTGTCACTGACAAATTTTCCTCTTACTCAGTACCTCTTTGATTTAATCACACAATTCAACTATTTGATTCACAATCATGGGGTCTTTTATACCCCATTAAGTCTCTTTCATACTTGTAGAGTCATTCATTGGGAAGATTGTTAAAATTCAGAGCCCTAGAATAATTCTAAGATGAATATGAAAATTTCAACACAACAGGGAGTCCAGACTCAAAGATTACATGTGATTATACACTCTAAAGAAGCATCAATTTCTCTTACAGCGAGCTACATTCTGTTAATTCTTAATATCATATTTACTCCTTTGAAAGGAAAAAAAATCCCACCAATTTCCTAGTACATAGTTCCAAACTCACAGTTTGAAAGGAAAAGGATTGAGTATCTTTTCCTCAAAATATTTAAATGACTGAATGGAAACTAATACATTTCTATATGGAAATTCATTTTGCCCACCAAGGCATATTTCAAATACTATTATAACTGAATGTTCAGAAAAGTGAAGTCCCTCAAAATCACCTTATGTATTAGAAGAACAAAAATAACACACTGTATAGTAAATCGCTTAACCTCTCTATGCTTCACTTTTCTTGTTTTTAAATCAGAGTAATATTACCTGTGGCATTCATCTTACAATGTTATTATATTACCAAATGAGAAGGCATATAAAAACATTTTGTAAATTATAGTGATATGTAAAAGTCATTATTTTTATGTTTACATTTCTAAGAAGGCATGTGAATGCTTACTTTTTTGAAAGGTATGATGCTAGACTGTGGATACAAAGAAAAAACAAAATTCCTGCCTTCAAAGAACTTATGTTCTATTGGAGATAAGGTAAAGAAGCTTGAGAATATGCCATAGGGATATTATATTCAGTACTTCTTATTTATTCTATTAAAATTGTACACAAAGTCAAATGATCTTAAGCAGTAGGTAATAATTCTTTTTTCAGTACTTGAAGATTCAGTGATTTCATTGGTTTTCATTTATGTCCTACCACTAATGCATGATCTTGTGAGCTATTATGCCCCCCTCCCCTCCAAAAAATCATAACATGGTTGCCATCCTCTTGGTAAGTAATTAGCCTCTCTAGACTTAAGGCAGACTGGTTCTCATATGACATTCAGTATATTATTAGGTCCACCTTAGTAAGACCCCTCTGAATTTATGTTCTATTGACTTTGTTTTGGGCTTTTTGTATTTAGAAACTGAGATACAAATTGAATTTACAAAAAGAAGTAGCCTCTGTCATTTCAAACTATTATAGTATCTACACAATTCCTTGCTTAAGTGAAAGGCAATATTTTTTAAAAGGTTTGATTAATACATGTATGCATAAAGAATCTACTTGAAATTAGTAATTTGGGAATTGGGCAGTTAGGTGGTACAGTGAATAGGAGACCAGCCTTAGAGTTCAAATCTGGCCTCAGATACTTACTAGCTATGTGACCCTGGGCAAGTCACTTAACCCTGTTTGTCTCAATCTCCTCATCTATAAAATGAGCTGGATAAGGAAATGGCAAACCACTCTAGTATCTTTGTCAAGAAAACCCCAAATGGGATCATAAAGGGTCAACCACGACTGATCAACCAAGTAACAACAACAGTATTTGGAAATTATTTGGTAATGAGACCCTCAGTACTTTAGAAAGTACAAGGTATGACACTTGATATAGTGATACAACTCAAAACCCACTCACACCTTCTGATTCTGTGCAATTATAACCCAAGAACTTCCATACATCTTCCTAGAGGGAACAATTTTTCAGAGGCAAATTTAGATAAAGCAAAGGAAAGTTTCCTGACAATTAGAGCTTCCTTTAAATGGACTGGCCAAGTTCAGGGAGCACTGTGCTGGAGTTAGTTCTAACTGGCTCAAAGAGGTGGTTTAATTTTCAGTGTGAGCATTTTCACCTTGGAAATTGGCAAATGTTGCAAATCATGTGTTTGCCAATTTCCAAAGTGAAAATGCTCATACTGAAAATTAAACCGTCTCTTAAGAAAGTGATAGAATGTTAATAATCCATTTAAAAATTTTTAAATGTATTGTGGGCGTATATGCATTTTTTTTTTCCTGGAGAGCCATTTGCTGAACATTTACCAGCACACCTTTGAGTCTGCCATACTTGAGGTCTTCAGACTTTCTCAGTGACCATTTCATGAGAATATTATAGAGAAGATCCTTATTCAGGTGTGTGCTGAATCATATGACCTCTGATGTGCTGTCCAACTTTAAGATTCTATGATTCTTTGACAATGTGTAAGCACTTGCACATACATACATTCACATTCATACTCACATTCACACACAATCTATAAATACTGGTCTCCTTGTGAATAGACTTTTGACAGAATCACAGAGATCATCTCCCTGAAATTCTGAAAAACAGTCACCAAATTTTCATGTCTTCATTTAGTCCTGGCCATGTCCTATCAGAATCAAAATGAAGATGAGAAGGGCCTGAGGAGAAGTAATGTTGGGTAAATAATTTTCTTTTGGGACCTCTGCCCTCCATAATTCTGTACATAGTACTCTTCATATTTACCTAACATTCTCTGCTAGTCTTGTTTTATGGGCTGTTCAACCATTCATTTATTCAGTTTTGATGAAGCTTCCTGATTCCTTAAAGACTAAAATTAGTCACAACATTTTCTGCCTTTTCATGATCTGGACACATATTTAGGATATTTGTTGAAATCAGTTTTATAACTGTTTCCATGAATTTGGAAGAAAAAGAAAAATGTAACATTAGCAAGTTTCAGGGACCAGATGTGAAATGAACAGTTGACAATTTTTTTTTCAACATGAGTTCTGTTTTCCTACTCCATAATTGCATCTTTCTATGTTTTTCTGGTATATATTCATAATTAACAAATAATCCATAGCATATATCTAGGAGGAAGTGTAACATTGAGGACAGTGTGCTGGTCTTGAAGTCAAGGCAAGTCATGGTGTTGAATACTGCTACCTTTGTGATGTTGGCAGGTCACATATTCTCCTAGCTTGAGTTTCCTCGTTTGTAAAATGGGAACAATAATAGCATCTATCTCCCAGAATTGTTGGGAGATTTTTTTTTAAATATGTGAGGCATTTTCTAAGACTTAGAGCACTACATAAATGCCTGCAAGAATGATAATAACTGTTATTATGATTATCTTTCTCATGAGGTTCAGATGGAATCAGTCTGAGAAATTATTATTCTACTATTGTTCTTATATATTTAATGTCCTGTGAACTACTGTGCAAGTGTATAAAATGACCACTTGACCTCTGGATCGAAGCTCAAATCTTCAGTCTCCATTCTTCTTTGGTGTACATGAACAATTTTATATTTATTGTTCAAATGACATTTTATATCTTTGGAAAGTTTCCACAAAATGAAGTAGCTGTTTAATGTTTTTTCCAGTGGAACCATATAACTTGATGCCATTATTCATGTTAGGTAATTAATAAGAAGTTTTTGTATGACTTCTTTATCTTGAGAGCCATACTCAGGAGAGAATTTGGAACACAAAGTTTTAAAAATGAATATTAAAAATGGTTTTTTATATATAATGAGGGAAAAATAAAATACAAAATAAATTTTAAACAGAAAAAAAAGAAAGAAAGTCATATTTAGTTCTGGTCAAAAGTGATGATAAGGGATTTAATGCTAGGAGGAACCATAGTGAGTTTAAACTTTCTCCTTAGCAGATGCCATGTATTCAATCAATTTTGATATTGTTGTATTAGTGGCATCTTTTAAATAAAGAAACGTTTTCCACATGGACATCAAATACTTCTTACTGTGTCTGGAAATATTTTGTACATTTGTAGTACCTGTCTCAGGGCAGTTAGGTGGCACAGAGGATAGAGTGCTGGGCCGGGAGTCAGAAATACTCATCTTCCTGAGTTCAAATCCAGCCTTAGATACTTAGTAACTGTATGACCCTGGGCAAGTCACTTAATCCTGTTTGCTTTAATTTTTTCATCTGTAAAATGAACTAGAAAAGGAAATAGGAAACCACTCCAGTATCTTTGCCAAGAAAACCCCAAAGGAGGTCATAAAGGTAGGGCATGACTGAAAACAACTGAAAAGCAACAAAGTACCTGTCTCAAGCTGTGAGTATGGAATTGAGTAAAAAAGACTGCAAAAATCAATAAAGGTAGTGTAAATGCGGTGGCCCTTTCAGATATTAAAAAAAATCATTGAATCAATAATGAGTTCATTTTTTATATTCATGGAACTTGGGTATGCTTTTTTCACCCCTCAGCCAATGTATTGTTTTGTTCTGTTAATGGATTTTTTTCATCAAAATGCTTTGTATAAAGTATATAAACATACAATGAGCCTATATTTGTAGGAGTCACTGCTATTCTCATCTTTTATAATATGTTCTGCCTTCTTTTAAGAAAGATTTTATTA